AATCTTGCAAATAAATAAAGCTATTGAACTCCATAGTTAGCATTTGCCAATATTTTATGTTGTTTGGCACGTTCACAGATTTTTGAAAACAAAGGCAACTGTGTGTGTGGTGGGGGGTGAGATACAGTAAATCTCCCAAAATTACCTGAGTGAATGTCTAGGTGCATATGAGATACGGCCCATAAAATACATTGTGGTCCTAGTCGGCTGAGGGCTTTAAAGGTCGTTCATGTGTTCCATGTTAAGTGAATCATGTCCGGTACTCATCTTTACAAACCTCATTTAATTCTCCTCCTTTTAACAGGGCGTGAAGGCACTGGTAAGAAACCAAAGCTGGGTAGACTTGCACATCGCTCAAGCACTCCTGTGCATTTCCAGCCTCAGCAGAAACTACGATGGTGGGCCAGGAGAAAGCAGAAGAGAAGCTGACACTGTGCCAGATTTTTCTGGCCATTTGTTTAGTTCAAAGAATCACTTGGGAGAGGCTGGGATTTATTTCTGGAGCTTGGGGGAGGCTGGGACTTACTAAAGCCGGGTGGTGTAGTTTAAAGTCAGAGGCATCTGTTGTGCCCCATTATTGTTACATTTTGTTTAGAACGGCTCTCTGCATTCGCTTGAAGTTCTGAGCACATAAGGAAGGCTTCATCTTACTATTTAGAGGCACATGGTATATTATGAATCAATAACCTGCTAAGCATTTTAGCTGCAAAAAGTAATAATTTATTTTGCTGGCTGAGGAGGGGAATGCACAGTCCCACTGTGACAACTGTATAATAGTCAAATGTCTCCCTTCTTTCGACATGGGGACACAGATTCACACACAAAAGGGTGTTTTATAAAAGCGAATAAGGTTGAGCAACACAACCATATGTTGTGCACTGGCCATGGAGCAAAGCGTGCCTGAATTTGCACCCAGACTTTGCATGTAATATAGCACTCGAGCAATTCAAAAACAAACAGAGGAGCGTCAAGTTCCTTGCCTGACAGATTGTGATTATGAGAATGGATGTGACATGTGAGGAATAGCACCTGCCTGACCTGCTTATTGATTCATCTGCAGATGGGTTGTATCAAAACTAGAAGTCAATTTGCACATGCCAAATCTGCTTATTGCCTGCCTCCCCACCCCCAACCTGGAAGGTTAATTCACACCAGGCACTTCTGGATGCCTTGTCACCTGAGGCTGCGTGCGGCTAACACCTCAGCACCAAGCAGCCTCCTCCGTGCTTTGTGATGGAATGTTATCTGTGCCTGGCACCATCTGGTGAACATGCAGAAGTGCTCAAGGATGCTGGGTGTCAGGTAACACAGAGACCAGAAAACAAGGAGTGCTAGTGAACAGAAGGTATATGCGAATGCTCTCCTGGGTTATATTTCGACCTGATTATTTCCATAACCTGGAGTCTGTTGTTTCTCCAAGAATGTATGATGACGGATGCAATTTCTCGGCACCTGCTTTTCCAGAACGTGAAACCTTAGAATACTGCAGCAAGGCAACTGTTATAAGAAGAAGGGTGACCTGGACGGAGCAAGCGGCACACTGTGTAAAATCGGCGCAAAAATCTAGAGCCATGGATGCAAAGCCCTCTTAGATATCTAGCATAGTGAGGTTCTGAAGCACCCAGAAACTGACGTACTTACGGTACTTACTTACTTGTTTGTTTGTTTGTTTATTTTAGCAAAATGTATTTACTGCTCAAAAATCTCTAAGCTGCTTACAAGAAGTATTAAGACTACCAACAGAAATAGTTAAAGACAAATAATTGAAAACATCTAAAAGATAATTAAAATCACAGCAGGCTGAAAAGAGATTAAAACACATCAACTTCTATGTTTCTAGAGAGGCTTGCCCAAACAAAAGTTTTTTGGGTTTGTTTGTTTTTAAGGGAGGTGCTGATAAGGAGAGTGAACCTGCCTGATGTCAGGAAGTATTATGTGGCACCTGTAACATTGCCAATTCTGCAGAACGAATTGGTAAAATGGGCATATATATAGGGATAAGGTGATCCTTCAAGCAATCTGGTCAATAATGCAGGATTGGCTATGACGCTAGGCAAGGGCATGGACACACACACACACACACACACACAGGGTGATCCCATTATCTCCTGTGTTGTATACACACTGTGTGGTAAATTAGGCTGTGAGAGGTTTACAGTGGAACAAGGATTTGAACCTACATCTCTTCATTCCAAGTGCATTCACTGGCTCATGATGACTTTGAGGAGCAGCAACAGAAATCATTTTTCCCGTGAAGGGTGTTGTTTCTGTGTCACTGTTCCTGGTTAACTCTTGTATTTCCAGTGCTTTTTTCTAAAAAAAAATAAAAATGTTTAGGGGTCCTCTCATTTTCCTACTCATATTGAAATACTGCCCCTCAATGAGGCCAAGCTTGTTGTTGTTGTTTAGTCGTTTAGTCGTGTCTGACTCTTCATGACCCCATGGACCAGAGCACGCCAGGCACTTCTGTCTTCCACTGCCTCCCGCAGTTTGGTCAAACTCATGCTGGTAGCTTCGAGAACACTATCCAACCATCTTGTCCTCTGTCGTCCCCTTCTCCGTGTGCCCTCCATCTTTCCCAACATCAGGGTCTTTTCCAGGGAGTCTTCTCTTCTCATGAGGTGGCCAAAGTATTGGAGCCTCAGCTTCACGATCTGTCCTTCCAGTGAGCACTCAGGGCTGATTTCCTTAAGAATGGAGAGGTTTGATCTTCTTGCAGTCCATGGGACTCTCAAGAGTCTCCTCCAGCACCATAATTCAAAAGCATCAATTCTTCGGCGATCAGTCTTCTTTATGGTCCAGCTCTCACTTCCATACATCACTACTGGGAAAACCATGGCTTTAAATATACAGACCTTTGTTGGCAAAGCTTAGGTTCACAAAATGCTTAGGGGTATGCGTCCCCCCAGAAAAAAGCACTGTGTGTTCCTAATTAATAAAGCAAGTGGAAGTTTTCACTCTGGGATGGTGCCAAACACTAGTAGTTATAAATACTGATGGATTCATCCAAAATAAACAAATAGGGAACCTACTCAAATGACACTGGCATTACACCCCACAAACATACTAAATATTACCACCGCAATCCCCTCTCCCCCTTCTCTCTCTCCTCCTTCTTCCCCCACCTTACTCTGTATCATGTCTCACATCAAATGTAAAAAAGACTTTCCATTTTTTTGGGGGGGGGGGGAGAATAATGCACATTTTTTTGTGAACCAAGAAGATCTTGAATGAATGAATGAATGAATGAATGAATGAATGAATGAAGTAGGAACCTGGTCAGATTACTGCTGAATGGCCCCAAATGACAGCAAAAGGCATTAATAAAATCTCCCATGAATATTGACCAAGCTCTTGTGGCAGATGACAGTGGCGGTGTTGATGACTCAGAGTGCAGGTGCAAACATGCTCCTTGGGCAAAGGGGATCTGCAGCCTATGCAAACATGTTTTGCCTGTCTTAGAGCATGACTAACTGTGGCTCCTCTGCTTTTGCCGTCTGTCACCAACTCAACATTTCCATGGGAACAGCACTGATGAGTGACTGCACCGATGAGTGGCAAAAGTTGCACACTGTAGAACTTTGCATGCCTTGATAGCTGGGTGGCTCCACTTTGTCTGTCATTATGCAAGGCCTCTTCCTCATTGGTTTCCAGTTCACCTTGATGTTTTGTCTTCAGCTGACTCGTGGCACCCTTCCAGCCTGTTTTGAGACAGTTTGTAGTGTGTTGCGAGGAAGGTGGAGCAAACTCACAACAGAAGCTGCTGATGGAAATGTAACAGCAGCAAAAATGGAGCAATAATGGGGAACTGGAACATGGGGATAGCTTTCCACAGAGAGCAGAGAGGATGCTGTGCTCCACAAAAGGCTATTGGATCTGCCACTACTGAGAAGGCCCTCTGCCCGGTTCCCTGTAACCTCACTTCTCACAGTGAGGAAACCAGCAGAAGATCCTCGGAGGAGGACCTCAGTGTCCGGGCTGAACGATGGGGCTGGAGATGCTCTTTCAAGTGGGCTGAGGCCGTTTTAAACATTTAAAAATTTCTCTATGCAGGGCTGACTTCAGATGTCTTATAAAGGCTGTACAGTTGCTTGCCCCTCCAATATTTCTCCAATCAAAATAGGGACATCCTAAGGAAAAACAGATAAAATAAAAAACCGAGATGAATTCTGTAAACCTGGGACTGTCCCTGGAAATAGGGACTTGGAGACTCTTCTAGAATGAAATGACCCATCTTGTTGGCAGCCCTGGTCACTTGGAGATGTTACCTGTCAGAGGGCTCTTGGGTTTGACTTCAGTTTGTGTGTCCTATGATGCTGGCTAAGGGGACATTTCCAGTCCTACCTGGAGCTGTTGGGGACTGAAACTGGGATCTTCTGCATGTAAAACTCTAGCACTGCACTAGCCAATCTATTTTCTATTTTTGACTTCTTGTTATTGTGTCCTTCTCCCTGGCTCCTCAAAGCCTGCCCTGGGCCTATGTTGCTTCTCTTCTCTTTTTCCCATTCCTGCCCCCTCCCCAGCCTTTAAAGCAAAGCAAGAGTGAACATTATCAGACCAGCTGCTTTGGTGAAGCACAAATCAGTCTCAAGGAGGCTCAGAATTCCTTTCTTAATCTGGGGAGGTTCACTAGCACAAAACATGAACTCCTTAAACTCCTAGTTTAAGGTATTTAGTCAATACAATTTCCTCTCTCCTTCTTTAATTTGATGGTCTCACTTTTATATTTAAAGAACAGTTTTAATTTTGCCCCCCCCTTTTGTGCTGTGCCACTTTCTTCTTCTTCTTCCTTTATAAATTTCCAATAAAAAATAAGTATAGTATGAAGAAAAACAGCCAGCTTTATCTATCTAAGGTTACTCCCTCAGGCATATTTTCACCTCCAGCCATTGCTTTTCTAAACTCCTTCATTTTCAGCAAAGAATTTAAGCCTTTTCAATGGACATAAAAGTTCAGCAGGGACTTTTAATTCAGAAATCTTTTATTTGCTTACGCGTGGATACTCAATTACCATATGGATAACAATGTTGTAGTAAGAAAATCTTTTTTCCCTGTGTTCAGCATATAATCTTTCCTTTCTCTGTCAATTTTCACAGCTTGATGCACCTCAAATAATGGAAACGTGACTTAATTTTCAGTCTGTCCTTGAACAGCATTCAGTAAGTCCTTTTGATTGACTTGTACTAGCTTGAGCTCCTACTGGAACAGAGGCTGTATTCAGTAGCAATTTTTTTCGTCACATTATAAAATTAAATCTTTAGTATTCTTTTTTAAAACAAGCAAATATGCACTTTTACCAAGAAAATCAGCTGGTATGCCACTGAGGTTTGGATAGGAGGGATTAAGCTAGGCATTCATTGTATTAAGGATTTTGGCCTTAACAAAATCATGCAAATCCCAAGCTTATGAACAGTTCAGCATAAGTCTATAGATTTATCAAATTTGCCAAATCCTGGGCTGAATTTCTGATGATCAAGGATCAACCCATTCCTGTCATTGGGGAACATATGGATCTACTCCATGTTGTGACTGCAAATGTATATATGTACAAAATAATCTAATTGTGGCAGAAACTGTTATGATAACTCACTGGCCAAAGGGATAGAAAATTGTTTTTGTAGGATGTAGTAGCATTTTAAGTGACTTCTTATTCCTTCTCCTCCTTCTGATCCATGCACTGCTTTTAGGTTTAAATTGTGTAGCTTAGTGGTAGAGACGGGGGAGAAACATGATCCAGTTCAAATTCAAAGTTACCTAGCTCACACTTTCTGAAACAATATGTGAACCAAAGCACAGTTGTCCTTCTTAATTCAAAGTTCCTCAAATTTTGCAATGTAATGTGCACAGAAATGCATATACTAGGGTAAGGTGTGCATGAAAGCATGTACATTAGAGAAAATAACATACCAAAATGCATTATATTAGGAAACATTGCTTTGCAAAAATGTGTACATTAAGGAAAAGTGTATACTAGGAGAAATTTGTACAAAAATGTTGATAAATTTTCATGAGGACCTTTTTTTTTAAAAAAAATGCAGAAGCTGGAGATCCATTCCAGCCTTTTTCTTCTGCCTGCATCTCTCTCTGTCTGTTTCCCTTGATTCCCCATTTTTTAAAACACTGGGGGGTATCTGAGCGCACGTGGTGGCACACTCCCTGCCCACGTTTATGACAGGATGACTGTCAATGCATGCAGATTGAAATCACTGGCTGCAGCAATTCAGCAGAGATAAAGTCTTATGCATTATACGCAGATGTGCTAAATGCAACACCAGCCCCATTACTGCTGGCACCGAAATTTGTGTTGTGTGCCAAGGTATGGATGAAATTGTGTCTGCTTCCTATTGCATTGATGCCTGGGGTTGATCATGTTGTGGCATGGGGAGGATGCAACAGCAGCAAAGGAACAGTAGTAAACCTTCTGAATAGTAAACAGTGTAAACCTTCTGAGTTAGGAGGAAGCTTTTTGGCATGCTTGAGAAAATGAGAGTGGACGTGGGGATCAAAGATACTAACAGCTCTTGAATTCCTCTTTAACATGATGTTCTCCTACACATCACCCCCCTCCCTGCAAGAATTGTTCGCTGTGTGAGTCTCATATAGTAATAATGCAAGATCCTATTGCACAAAGTAGCTGACTTTCCACCCCACTGGGTGTCTATTCAGTCAGTTACTCAATCCAAAGGAAACATCCCTGATTAAGCAACCAGACACTGTGCCATGTTACGCTATTCCTGCAGCCAGTGAACAAGTGCATTGTGTGACAGATGGGGGGAAGGGTGTGCTGTCATCCACAGAAAACTGCTACTAAGCTAAGGTGTCATTTTATACACATCACAGCAGTTTAAAGACTCACAGAATGATAAAGGTTACAACAAGGTCATTCAGTCTTGGCCCAGGCATATCATAACCTCTAAATCACCTCTCGACTGATATTCTTCCCTTCTTCTTTTTTTTGACGTAAACTACAAATCACAAAACTTCCAGCCTACAGCCATTAAACAGAAGGAAGAGCCTCACACAGAGTTAAAACGGTATTCTTCCAATCACCTTGGTAACACACTTATTTTTAATGAGCAAAATTCGCATAAAGCATTTAGATATCGAGCTGTATCCTTCTATGTTTTTACATAAAACATTGTTTTAATATACAGCATTGTTTCTGATTGTTTGTATATACTGAATGACTTCTACATATGGAATTGTGTTTACATATGGAATTGTTTTTAATTGTTGATGTGTGTTTTTTGTTTTACTGTGTAACACCTCTTTGAGATTATCTTATTGGAAGTGCTTCATAAATGGAATCAAATAAGTGCATATGTGTGTTCCGAAATATATACAGTATTTCATGTTCACAGTTTTTAATCATTGTTTGCCCAGAGCCTAGAGGGGCATTCAGACTGCCTTCTCTTACCCCAGATGAAATGTTAGTCGAGGTGATGTACCCTATCACCCATGACAATTGAACATTCTATGGCTTTTTAAATGTGTTTGGGGGAGGGGGTTATTAGGTTGTATTTGGTTTAGTTTTAGCATGTATTTTGTGTTCCCATTTTGTGTTTCGATGTTGTGAACTACCCTGTGATCTTCCGGTGAAGGGTGGTATACAAATATAAAAATAATAAATTTAATAAATTTATTTAATAAATAAATGCTGACTTGGACTGTTGCAAATTGAAACCCAGCAGCATCTAGATACCACACTCTTTCACAGAAGGTAAAAATGCCAGCTGCTTTTACGCTAGACTGCACTACATTTTGGAATATCTGACTTAATGCTTAATGAAATCTTGGATTTGTTTAGAGTCAGGTTGCCTAGCATGTCCATCATGATACCTGAAATTGATAGCCGACATGAACCATAGGAAGTGATAGAGGTAGGAAATATTTGTTATTTGTATCATAGCTTTGTGGTAGCCTACATGCCGTGTATACCCTGCTAAAAGGACCCCAAATATCAGAGCTAGTGGAAAAACATCTCCCTCAGACTCCAAAGACCACTGCCAGACACAGCAGATAAGCCCTGGACTTGATGGACCAACGTTATGACACAGCGTAAGAGAGCATCATATATTCATTAATCTCCTGTGCTATTAAAACTGCTTAAAATATTCAGAGAAGCTGCTGCCAATGACAGCCTTTTTCTTCTGTGGTTCCACTTAAGTCCTTTCACCCTCACTGTAAGGTCATGAGTTACGAAAGCAACTGATCAGGGACCAAGGCAGGTGGAGTGCAGTGATATCAGCAATGGGAGGTTGCACAATATTTTCCTGGAACAAGGGGCTTCCTCCTTACTAGGAATGCCTGAGCCTCTTAGTTTCATGGGAAACACAAAGTCCTTTCAGATACTTTAAGTGTTCAGTCAGGCCTGATTTTTGATATACACCCCAATAAACTTAATGATTCTAACCAGTGCATTTTTCTGGAGAGACGCAGGGGTACACATACCCCTAAACATTTTGTGAATCTAACGGGAGAAGAAACTAATTTTTTTAAAAAATGTTTAGTTTCTTCTCTAGCACAGTGAATCGTCAGTTCTGTTGCTACCCCTGATGGTGGCTTTATTTACTGTCACGGTGTCCCCTAAGTCTCAGATGGAAGCGAGCGTTTAATGTGTGAAGGAGTGTGGAATGTGGATGTGTGGTATTTTACTGATGAAAGTATAGCCTCATTGAGGGGCAGTATTTATTTTTCCCAATTTGAACTATAAAATGGTGATTTTCTTGAGTCAAAATGGAAGTACCCCTAAACATTTTTTTAAAGCACTGATTCTAACAATTTTTTAAAAAACCAGAAGAAAGCCCCACAGATTGTAGAGGAGATTGCAGCTTTGGGGGATCTTAAAGGTAAAGGTAAAGGGACCCCTGACCATTAGGTCCAGTCGTGGCCGACTCTGGGGTTGCGGCGCTCATCTCGCTGTATTGGCCGAGGGAGCCGGCGTACAGCTTCTGGGTCATGTGGCCAGGATATCTGGTGAATCAGAGCAGTGCACGGAAATGCCGTTTACCTTCCCACCGGAGTGATACCTATATATCTACTTGCACTTTGACGTGCTTTCAAATTACTAGGTTGGCAGGAGCAGGGACCAAGCAATGGGAGCTCACCCCATCACGGGGATTCGAACCGCGACCTTCTGGTTGGCAAGTCCTAGGCTCTGTGGTTTAACCCACAGCGCCACCCGTGTCCCTTGGGGTGTGTGTGTCTTATCTTATCTTATGAATAATAAATAGTAAGTCTAGTGGCTGTTAGCCTTAAGTGTGTTTTGCACATCCACAGCATTAAAGTAAAACACTAATCATCTTTATCTTTCTAAGCTGGTTCAAGCCTATCTACTCATAAAATCAAGTGATTCTTTGTACTACCTACAGTGGAAGTATAGTTGACTGAGATAAGAGATAGGGCCTTTTTAGTGGCAGCACCAATACTATAGAATCATTAAACTTAGGTGGCCCCCACACTGGTTGCCTACTGAACACTTTAAACTTAATTTCACCATCCTTTTGCCTTGCCAGGATGATAATAACTTATCTGAAGGCTACATTTCATTTGCTACACCTGCCTCTGCTATGTTCAATTCAATATTGCTGTTTTATTTTGATATTGCAGTTTTAACTATTGTAAGATGCATTGAATAATGCACATGAATTAAAAGTAAATTTTTCTATAGAATTTAATCCTTTTTAATAAATAGGACCCCTGGTTTTGACCACGATGTGCCAATGAAGGATATCTCTCCCCCCTGGCCCCAATCCGATCCCCAAATGCATTGAAAAGTATTAAAGGGGAGCAAGATGCATATTATGCCCCAGAGTCATGATTCTGAACAATATGGAGACATTGATGGCTTCACTGGTAGGACCAGCAGCAACAGACTCTCCCGATCCCTCCAGACACAGCCGCGCTGGATCCCACAACAGCAGTCGGGTAATAGAAATGCTGTGATGAATTGATGGGTTCATTAGTGTACAATTTAAGAATCAATGGACAAGGCTTCATAATAGAGCGGAGCTCGCAGGAGCCAAGTTCCAGCACTTTAATTGCAGCAGGAGCTCAATGTCGACATTTATTTTCTTAAATGCTTCCCCTGAACAAAGACAACAATCAAACAGATTGAGAGGCTGAGGGATAATTTGGTGCTTGTGCATGTGTGTATGTTTGTTACTGGGGAATGGAAGGGAGTAACTTAACTGGAAAATCACTTAGAACAGCTTGGCAGCGTTTACGACAGTATTAGGCACAGTTCAGAAGAAGCATTTTCACATTATTCGGCTGGGCTGTCCTAATGAACATGCAGAGCTCAAATAGGCTCTGGTCCTAACAAGAAGGTGCCCAAAATGAACAATTAGAGGGTGCGCAACTGTAGAACTGTGGGTGGATCACATACATTTTCATCTAGATAATCTGCAGCCTTGCTTGTCAGGTTAAGGCACAGCCAAAGGTGGACTGGGTCACTGTAGCCCATATCTGTGCTCTATTTAGTTTTCAATTCGACTTTGCTTTAAATCAGCATGCTACTTTTACCTGCCTCCCCAGGCACTTCTATAGATGCTTTAAGGGCCTCAGAGTGGTAACGTTCCCTGTTAAACGGGCAGCAGAACACCTCTTGGTATGTATGGAGAACAGCTGGGGTTCATCGAGTGGCAGGTAGCTGGAGTCTAGGATCTGTGCATGCAGGTGTAGGTGGCAACCAAACTCTGGGAATGTTAACTTCTGGATACCTGGCTGATTGATTTGTAAATAGGGATGGGAGAGGCAGTCAATCCAGTTTGCATTTAAAGGTAAACTTACCTAATATGTGATCTGAAACACAGCCATCCTTTGAAATCTGAATTTTGCAATGGAGTTTTCTAGCCAAGGAATCTGTAAAAAAACATGCATCCACTAGGGTAAAGTGTGTCTGTGAATGCATAGATTATTGAAAATAACATTTAAAAAAATGCATTATGTCAGGTGAAATTGCTTTTCAAAAATGAGTACGCTAGGAAAATTTTTATAGAAAAATGTGTATATAAGGAGAAATTTGCACTGAACTTCAATAAATAAATCAATCACAAACCGGTGTGAAAATATGGAGAACCAAATTTAAGACCAGGAAAATGAGGAACTGAAAGAAATTGGAATTGACACATTTGCCCAGCCGTCCTTATAGACAACATGGCTGAAGTCTAAGATTTGTGTGTACAGGTATGCACAGCAATCCAGTCTTGGGCATCAAGTTGACCTTCAGACCACCCTAACCCACTGGATGATTGAATTGTAGCTTATATATCTAGCTCATCTCTGCCTGAAGCAGGAACCACACACTCTCCTCCCCCCCAACATGACGTGGATCATCCTCCATGAATTTGGAAAGAAAAACTCCATTCTGTATAATGAACTAAAATAACCACAGCTACTACAATTATCTATCTCCAAATACAGGGAATTAGCAAGGGCTCTAAAAATGTAGACATGTGAAAGGCTGGTACACCATGATCTTCTTGAGCTGCCACTTTCTATGGAAGGCAAGCTGCAAAAGATTGATGTTATGACTGAAATACAGATAACAGAAGCCCTTTGCAATTAGTAGCTCAATGACAGCTAAGGGTAATCTGTAGCGGAAGAGTGCTGGGGTTGGGGGAAGCAGGGCATGCGGAGGAGAAAAAAAGTTGTAGTCAGCCGTACTTTCTGTAACATCCATCCCATTTCATCTGTTCCCCGGTAATGATGGCCAGAGGCAAGGTCTAATGATACACTTTTTACCAGTAAGGTGTGTGTGTGCGCGCATTGAAGACAGACATTATAAGAGATAAAAATAGGGCCAGTATTAGAAATGTTTTGTCTGCTATAAATCTGCTGGAGAATAATAGCTTTTCTTCTGAGGAAGGTGATACAGGCAAATTAAATATGCATACCACATAAGCAGATATGGCTGGCCATGAAAGATAGCTTCCACCTCTTCTTCCAAAAGGAATAAAACCCTGAACTTCAACTATTCATGTCAAACTCAGTGGTACCTAAGGGACTGGGAGAGAACCCGCAAGGTGTGTGTGTGTGTACACATGGTTATGGGCCAGGCAAATTCACAGGTAGGCATGGCACTAAATAAAAAGGGTGTTATATTCTAGATGCCAGCAGAATTATTTGAAAATACAAAATGAAAGCAAAAAAAAAAATAGTTTTCAGCCCTACATGGTAAGCTCTTTCTTTTTCTTCTTCTTTCTGGAAAAACAAATTATACGGCACCAGCGGGATAGCTTTAATGCGCTCCAAGAGGATATTAAGAAAAGGGGGGGAAACACCCCCAAGAGGCAAAAGAAAATGTTCTCTATAGGAAATTAAGCCAGACCTCGACAAACAACAACAATAACCTACAATGCAGGTAAAACTTCAGACACGAATCAATGAATAGAGAATGAACATTAGCAGAGCCTGAAGCAAAGGCAGCCAGGAACACAAAAGAGGAGAGAGGGGCTTTGGAGCACCCACTGAAACAAATTCCAAACAATATGCATACTAATGAACTCGCAATGCCACTTAGTTTTGCATCCATTATTCATTGTTTGGCTTTACAGAAAATGCAACTTCACAATGAAGTGATTACAGGGAGCATCAATGGCAGCAGGATGATAACAGGGAAGGAGCTGGCCGCTGCATCTGTTCCTTCAACCTTTGGTCCCGGTGCATGAAAATCAACATTGAACTGGCAACTAGAAGGTAGGTTTGGACAAGGACATCGCTCCCAAAGAACTGCAGGGCAGTGGTACTGCCAGATCCATTATTTCTGTCATCCATTCTCAAAAAGAGTTGCAAGAGGTCTTCAAAGAGAACATTTTGGAAGGCCCTCCACACAACAAGGGTTTGGTGGCCAAAGAGAAGAGGGGGTGTGTCTTCTCTTGCACCTCCTTTGGGTCCTAGGAAAGGAGAGTGCTTTGCACAAAGAGATTCCAATTCAAGATGTCTTTTTATTGAAGGACAATGTAACTGAGTTTGTCAATGTAACTGAGCTTTATTAAATATGTTAATACTTTTAATAGCCTAGGCCTGACATACATAGATGATAGGTGATAGGTAGGTAGATGATAGATAGATAGATAGATAGATAGATAGATGATAGATAGATATAGATGATACACAAACACTATTTTAAATTTCTCTTGGTTGGTGGGTTTCTTAGTGCTTTTAATGGGAAGCTATTAAAACTGTTCATTGTTGAGAATAGGAAGTGTATTTGAAGCAATGTTGGGTTCTGTACCTCCATTTGCTGCTTCATCCTGTTAGTCCAGGCCATGCTGCATTATAATTTTGTTATCTTTCAACCGCACCTTAAGCTGGAGCTAAATGTATGAAATTTCCTGAAATAGAAATAAGACGGGGGGTGGGGGGAAATAAGGGATTATATTTAAAATTACATCTTTGCACACAGGTCTGTGTGTCATAAGTACCCAGTGAGGCTTACACTCCATTTCACATTCATTCCATTGGCTTCCTTACTTTAAGACTACACCCCTCCATCAGATCTCTGCAGCTGATCTTAGATAAGCAGTAGAAATGACAGTTTAGCTTGGCAGCTTGGCTGGCCTGCTGAATGTGTCAAGCCTCCAAATGCAATCTGACTTTTGCCTGTTATAACACCCTTGGCCATGGTAGCAAGCTGGTTGGTTCACTAAAAAAAAGGTGTTTTTCCTTTGACATTTCACACTCCATGCATTCAGACGTTGTTGTCTTGTCCTGACTTTTGCCTTGACTTGGGGCTTGCTTCTAACTTACAATTAGAAGCAAGCCCCAGGGAAGGGAGAAAACATTCAATCAGTTCATTTTTTTCTATATGCAAACTGAAATGTCATGCTCCTTTGAAATGTGCACTTCTCTGAATTTTGCATTTAAATTCAAGGGGAAAAAAGTATGCAAAAAATGTGTAGGCAGGATACAGTGGTACCTCGGGTTAAGTACTTAATTCGTTCCGGAGGTCCGTTCTTAACCTGAAACTGTTCTTAACCCACTTTAGCTAATGGGGCCTATTCAGGGTGGTTCCTCTTCCCAGGCAACTCTAGGAAATGTAACTCCCTGGGGAAAAACAAGGGTCTTCTAGCCACTCTCAGCACCCTTTACAAACTACACTTCCCAGGATTCTTTGGGGGGAGCCATGACTGTGATAGGAAACTGCTTTAAATGTATGGTGCAGATCAGGCCCTCTTCTGTGTGATGGCCTTTCAGGTATTTGAAGAGCATTTTCATGTCTCCCCACCCCAAGCCTTCCCATCTCCAGGCTAAATGTACCCAGTTCCCTCACCCTTTCCTCATAGGACTTTCCATACCCATTAAAAGCAGCTGGCAAACAGCAATAAAAGTAGTCTGGCTACTGCTTCTACTACTAATTAGATTTCTTACATACCCCTTCCCCATGAGGTCGCAAGGCAGGTTGCAACATTTTCAAAATACGTTATTCTGTTTAAAAATACATGTATTAAAAATAGATATAGTAAAAAAAAAGCAGTTAAAAAAACTTACATCGAGAGACTTTACTTAAAAGTGAAATCAGTGATCGAGCCCCAAAGGGGGGTGGGGAGCTGTGAGGCAGGAGGGCTAAATAGAGGATTTTGGCTTTCTACTGCAACAAAAATATTTAAGAAGAATGGAATATGAATGGGGTGATCTTAATCTTCTTCTTCTTCTTCCCTCTGTTGAAATTCAGTAGGCTGTGATGGGAAACATGGGCCAAGAGGAGGAGGAGGAGGAGGAGGAGGAGAAAGAAAGTAGGTTTCCTGCCGGAAACTATTTTCTTTAGATTTACCTTTATTATAAAGAAACTCTCAGATCAAATCAGGAAGAGTAAATAAGCTTCCTGGAATAGTACCCAGGGGTTTTGTTTTTGATAGAGAAACAAAATTGGGAGTGAGGTTGGGGAATCCATCGGTGTCCAGGCCTTAAAGGCACAATAGTCTGCTTTATCTGTGCAGCAATTTTGCTGATTTCATCTCTAGGGCCGTTTAGTCTGCAGCTAATTAGATGTGCCCTTACTAATAGGCATAAAAGTCACAGGCACAAAGGAAGCTGACTTCTACTGAGACACAGGAGCGGCTTGCTCAGTGGGGCAGAGATGGAGCAAAGGTCTTCTGGCACGACCACCGCTGCTGCTGCTGCTACTTGCCAAGAAGGGAGAGATGGGACAGCAATGGAGTCAGGGTCATGCAGATGCACCTTTGGGAGTGTCAGATTGGCTTCACTCACACACTCACATTGCCTCTGCTGTCCCCTTGTGCCGATGACACTGCTGTCTGGAAGCTATTATAGAAATTAAGTAAATAAATATCAAATATTGATGTGGCTCCCCACTCCTGCATAGACAGACCATTGGTCCAGAGGTGGATTTAGGGCAGTGTAACCTGTCCTGCCACACTGGACACCGAGCCTAATGGGTGCAGCAGGGCATGGCAACTATGATGTAGCAACCTGAGAAGAGTGGAAGGTGGGTCACTGTCAGGGAGGGTCACTGTCAGGGACTGGGCACCAGAGGATGAATGGTGGAGATTGCCCCCCCCTTCTCCTGCACTTCCCAGAGAAGAGGAAGACAGTATAGATTTAGATCAGTGGTTTGCAGAAGGTCATAGTTCAGAGGCTGCGGGGGGGGGGGAGCTGGGAAATATTGGGAGAGGAGCAGGAGGAAGAAGCAGCACCAGGGGAGAGACAGCTGACAGACTCAGTGTCTTTGGAAAGCATTCCAGACCCCCTCTTCCCAGGACCCGGCAGGCATTGAGAGTAGGAGAACAGAAAGCTCAGAGGCAGAAAGCACAGATCAGCTGATGCAGGGATGATGTATAACAGGAGAGACGGAGGTGACATCCAAGAGGTGACATCCCACATCTCTCTCTGAATATTGAATAAAATACCTTGGTAAGAGCTTCTTGTTTTTTCCATTACTGGCAGCCTTCTGTGAGGGAGGGGGATCGGATTCCCTGAAGCCTGACAGTCTCCCAATTTTGTCTTTGCACAGGGTGCCACTGCAATTTGAAAGACCAAAGTCCCACCTTGATTGGTCCACCTAAGCTCAGAAGGTCAGGTGGGACTTCTCCCAGCTGATGAATTTTCATAAAGATTTATTATTATTTTTAATAATAACTGATGGGAAATGTGAATGAACTTAAATGGGGGAAAATGAGAAACTGAGAGGCTCATCCATCACCATGTGAGAGTTTGTGAAATGAAACCCCTTGAATTGCTGGGTGAATCACTAGATTTTCTAGAAGAGCAGCACAATGAAATGGTTGTGGTTCATTCTACCTAGAAACTTAGTCTCAACAAAGGAAGTCACTGGATACTTCTTTTTGCATTTGCGCATATTGTTGTTCAGAAGGAGCGAATGAATGTGACGCATATGCAGGCTGGAGACTGTTCTTGGAGGAGAAACCTCCTAATCCGCAGCAGGAGGATGTGGCCGAGGCACTGGTGTCTCATTTTGGCTATAGAGGGTGTGCTGAGGGCCTTTTTAATGTTAGTTGTTCCCAGTGCTTTTTTTCTTTAAAAAAAAATAAATGTTTAGGAGTACTCTTATTTTCCTACTCATATTGAAATACTGTCTCTCAATGAGGCCAAGCTTAGATTCACAAAATGTTTAGGGGTATGCGTCCCCCCAGAAAAAAAGCACTGGTTATCCCCCACCAAAGACAAATGGCACAGCCTTCTCTGCGAATATCCTTTCTCGTGATGACTTTTGCAAGCATTTCGTAAAGTTGTACAGTATTTTGAATTCCTGGTAGCGATTCCTAGCACAAGGGGAGCCATGCTGGTAACAGCGTTTCCACTCAGCCTCGTTTATCACTGTCACTGGCTATTTTTAGTCAGGCTTCTTGGGAAAACGGTGAGAGCAATTTGTGAAACAGCACAATGATGCTGACAGCAGTTTATCTTAGCAAGATTATTACTCTGTGTACATGACTGACTAATGGTAGCTGAATGTTTTAAAACAACCACAGTTTCAGTACATTTCTTGCCTTACCCACCCCCCCAAAAGCCGCCCCCCCCCACTTTCCAAGGGCTTCAGACATAAGGGATTTATTTGAGTTGACAAGAGATGGAAAGGTAAAATGGAGAACAGCCTGAAGAAACAATAAAGCTGAAAGTTTCCAGGCAAACTCAAGTCTGCTCTGTTTCTTTTTTAGCTGCCCCTGGTATGCTCCCATATGGTGCGCAGATGGGCATGGAAGGGGCCTCAGTGGTACAGGAGTGTGGGCTTTAGGGATCAGAGACACAAGGCGATCCCCGAGGAAAGGCGCTTTTGGGGGCTGACTGCTTGGACTGAAAGGGCTGCTGCCACAATGTTTTATTGTAATTATTTGTATAACTTTGCTTTTATATATGTACAGTGGTACCTGAGGTTACATACGCTTCAGGTTACATATGCTTCAGGTTACAGACTCCGCTAAGACAGAAATAATACCTCAGGTTAAGAACTTTACTTCAGGATGAGAACAGAAATCGTGCTCTGGCGGTGCAGCAGCAGCAGGAGGCCCCATTAGCTAAAGTGGTGCTTCAGGTTAAGAACAGTTTCAGATTAAGAACAGACCTCTGGAACGAATTAAGTACTTAACCCGAGGTACCACTGGATAGAGTATTACTTCTAACAACATTTAATTGCTTTATAATGATTGTTTTCAGTGCTTCTCATTTTCATGTGTATGCCTGCTTGAGTCCCGTCAGGGAAAAAGGCAGGGTGATAAATAAATATATAATAATAAGTTAACAAACAAACAAACAAGCATACTCAGAGCCTTGCCACAGTAATTCATGCACTGGTTACTTCAAGACGGGATTAGTGCAGTGTGCTCTGTGTGGGGCTTCTGCCGTGCTTGATCCAAAAGCTGCAGTTAGCACAGAATGTTGCGACATTATTGCCAGCAGGACTGAGACACTGTCAGCATATAACACCTCTGCTCAGAGATCTGCGCCGGTTGCTGATTTGCTACCAAGCCAAGTTCAAGGTGTTACTTACTATTAGTATATAAAGCCCTTAACAATTTGGGGACCTGTGAGATCGCCTTAACCCACTTGACCGCTTCAATCCATAGAACTGGCACTCTTAGAGGTGCCACAAAAAAACCTTGTTCTGCATTTGAAAGAAATGGATCTTTTAATGCGGCAGCACCCAAACTTTGGAACTCCCTGCCTATTGACATCAGGCAGGTGCTCTAAAAAGCATTTTCATTTAAGTCAGCCTATCCAGATAGGTGAAATGTTGACATGCGTTTTCATCTGTTTTTAGCTGCTCATTCATTGTCGTGCTTTTTTGGTATGTTTTAAATCGCTGTTCTTCACTGTTTTTACTGATGATGTTATTAATTCTTTTTGTAAACCACTTTTATTTTTCCTTTCTTTCAGTCAAGTAGTGTACAAATTTGATGAAATAAAGACTACAGGTGGCACACGCATTCTCAGGGAGCCATGGCAGCAGCAAGCAGAGCTTTATTCCACAAAATGAGGACATTGCTTGGAGGCTGCCCTCAGAAAAAAAATACTCCTGCATTTCCCAGAAGGAAAGTCCGGAAGCATTCGCGTTGCCGCAGAATCCTGCACACTGATTCCAGGGTTCAAAGCCTGGATGCAAATGCATAATGAGACCATTTGTAGTCATCCTCAAGTGGTTATTGTCATTGCATCCTGAAACGCCATCTAGTTCAATAGCT